GTGTTTGTTTTTGTTGTTGTTGTTATTGTTTTTATTTTTTTGAGATACAGTCTCACTCTGTTGCCCAGGCTGGAGTACAATGGTGCGATCTCGGCAAACTCTGCCTCCTAGGTTCAAGCAATTCTCCTGCCTCAGCCTCCCAAGTAGCTGAGATTACAGGTGCCTGCCACCATGCCCAGATAATTTTTTTGTAGTTTTAATAGAGACGAGGTTTGCCATGTTTTCTAGGCTGGTCTCAAACTCCTGGCTTCAAGTGATATGCCCATCTCAGCCTCCTAAAGTGCTGGGATTACAGGTGTGAGCCACTGTGCCCAGCCTTTTTTATTTTTTGTAGACACAGAGTCTCACTATGTTGCCCAGCCTGGTCTCAAATTCCTGGCCTCAAGTGATCTTCCTGCCTTGACCTCCTAAAGTGGTGGGATTACAGGTGTGAGCCACCATGCCTGGCCCTTTAATAATGCTACAAAATGTTTTGGAGCTCATCTTATACTTTCACTGGATAAAGAATAAGATTCAAAGGAGGCCAGGCAGCAGGAACCTATGGCTAAGGTTATGCCAAGGCCACAGTGAAGTCAGGCCACTTGAAATTTCTGATAAGGATTTTCTGCTGGCACCACTATCCACTTCTCAGGTGCTGCAGGTGCAGTGAGTTTATATCATGAACTCTGGCTGGGTCTTGTCTGCACTTCCTCAATATTCAAAGTCCTGTTGGAAACATTCCAGTTAGTTGGGTTAGGCCAAGTGCCTACCTTTAGGCTGTGAAAAAGTGGGAAGAAGGATATATGCTCTCCAACTGCCATGAAGGGGCTACAGCTCATTCTGTCAATACTGCTCACAGTGGGGAATCATGCAGAAATAGAAGATGATTTGAACCCCAGGTGACCCACAGCCCCTTTCCCACATATCTACTTCATAGCTGGGGAGATATAAATACAACATAAACAAAAGGAAAAGGTTGGGAGACTGTGCACCAAACCAGTGGCATGTTGGTAAATGTTTAACCAAAACTCCCCCAGGGGGAAAAAAAAACAGGCCGGATTTGTTATGTTCACCTATTTCTCTTATGTAAGTACTCCCACCATGGCCGATTTCAAATGAGACATCACTGAATACAAAGTTGGAAAGAGATGTGCATTGCCATGTCATTTATATAGCATTCCCTCCGTACAGACACTACAGATACAAACAACTTCAAGACATCGTAGTAGAATGCAGTAAAATAATTAGGAAGTGATGAGTTCTTAATATTTATCACCTTTGCTTTAATAAAATTTATTTAGTTATATGTTTATGTAATTTTTTTTTCTTTGAGATGGAGTTTCTCTCATCGCCAGGCTGGAGTGCAGTGGCACGATCTTGGCTCACTGCAACCTCCACCTCCTAGGAAAGTGATTCTTCTGCCTCAGCCTCCCAAGTAGCTGGGACTATAGGCACTTGCCACCATACCTGGCTGATTTTTGTATTTTTAGTAGAGACAGGGTTTCACCATATTGGCCAGGCTGGTCTTGAACTCCTGACCTCAGGTGATCCACTTGCCTCGGCCTCTCAAACTGCTGGGATTACAGGCGTAACCCACCACACTCGGCCATAATTTAATTAAAAATTTTTTTTTTGAATTTATTAAGACTAGTCAAGTGCAGCAGTGAGAAGCGGGGAAAGGGCAGAACAAGGAGTTCAATCTGTAACTGACTGTGAACAATCGAGGTAACTCACCACCTTCGGACCAGCCAAATTTTTAATTAAAGCAATGTTTAGCAACTGGCATGGCCAATTCCAGAAAAGTCAGCAATTGTCTCTCATGAGCTGGTGTAAGCTTCAGCACTTGAACACAACAAACTGTCTCAGTGTTTTCTTCTGGAGGTGGAATTGAGGGTGAGGAAGACATGCTTTTATTTATTTTTTTTCACTTTACATTAAATTATTTAAAAAACAGTTGCATTTATAGTGTTTAAAAAACTGTACATGTGTTTTCAAATATTTTTCTTTTTTTTTCTTCTTTTTTCTTTTTTTTTTTATAGACGGGGTTTCACCATGTTGGTCAGGCTGGTCTTGAACTCCTGACCTCAGGTGATCTGCCCGCCTTGGCCTCCAATGCTTGGATTACAGGCGTGAGCCACTGTGCCCAGCCTTCAAATATTTTTCAAATGAAAATTTAATTTAAAAAATAAATCCATAGAAATTTTGGTCCTTATCTCTCCTCCCTCAGTTGAGTGCAGTGTTAGCTGGCTTCCCTGACCTCAGTCACAACTCCTCCAACTGATTTACAGAAAAGGTTACCAAATTAAGATAAAGTTAACTCCAGGCTGAGGAACAATCTTGTCATGCCTGTAATCTCAGAACTTTGGGAGGCTGAGGCAAGAGGATTGCTTAAGGCCAGGAGTTCAAAGCCAGCTTGTACAACATTGTCTCTACAAAAAAAAAAAAAATTGAAAATTAGCCTCGCATGGTGGTGCACGCCAGTAGTCCTAGCTACTCAGGAGCCTGAGACAGGAGGATTGCTTGAGCCCAGGAGTTAGAGGCTGCAGTGCATTATCATGGCACCATTTTGCTCCAGCTCAGTAACAGAGTGAGGTCCTGTCTCAAAATAAATACAATATAATCTCATATAAACTCTGATCATGTCACTCCTTCCCAAAAATCTTCAGCCACATTGAATACAAACTCTCAGGCAGGATTTGAGCTCAACTTCCTTTTCAAACATTCTCCATTCCTCTGCCTCCTTCCTGGGTCTCAGGCCAGGGGTTTTCAAACCCATTCACAGAGGTTGTGTTCACTGGGGGAACAGAGGGGCACCTGAGCACCTGTGGAAGGACACGACATGAGGCTCCAGCACCACTCCCATCATAGCAGCTCTGATTTGATTTCACACAATTTCAGGTAGGATTTCATTAAAAAAGGGGTTCTGTTGCTTAAAAACCAACATTTGAAATGAGCTGTCTTAGTCCAACAGGATGGCACATCTCAATCAAGGACTCTCAAATCTGCATATTTCTCCTTTGTTTATTTACTTCAACTGATATTTATTGATCACTTGCTATGTGCCAGGCACTGGGAACAAGACAGACTGTCCCTCCCTAGAAGGCTTACAGTTCAGAGGAGTGATGATGAATATTTGAAGAAATTAAGGAACAATATCTTGCCCTTTCTTTTCCCTCACACGTCTTTCATGGTTAATCTCAGATGCCGTGGACTTTATACATTTCTTGATCTGCCTCTCCTCCTGACCAGAAGAACTCCCTTTTCCATATAAAATTTTGTGTGTAGAGGATGTTGGTTGTTTTTCCTTTTCATCTTCCATTCTCTCACCTTCTGGTGGTAGTACTTGGCACATTCTTTGGGGGAACAGCCCTTCCCTGGTTTCTCCCTCACAGTTTACTGGGTTCTGGTTAGTCTCTAGGAGTTGGCAAGTGACCCCAGGCCTGGCCAGCTGGCACCTAGAACCCCTTTAGCCATAGCAATTGTTTCAGGTCTGGCCACCCTCTGACTCCCATGATTGGTTTGGGTTAAATGAATGATCCCAAATGTCTCACAGTGAATCCCAGACATGTGTAGGAGCCTTGGAAAACAGATGCTCTCTTTTCAGCTGAATTTAAGCCTGAAAAGATGTAGACTCAGAATTCTGGGCAGCAATTTCATTACACTGTGGAGTGTGAAGTCAGAATGGAGGAAAGTAGAGCCAAGTGATGGGAAGAGACTGGATCTTCCTGACACTCAGTGAGTGGTTCAAGCCACATTAAAGCCTGCCCCCTGGCTCATTTGTATGTATTGGCTCAGTTCCACGAGCCAATACATTTCCCCTTTTGCTTTAGTAATTTTCAGTCAGCTTTTCCAAAAGAATGTTGAATGATTTACCATAGCAGGACACTTCTAATCTGGACTCTCTAAGAGCTCAAGACTGGTATGCCTCTGAGTCCAGCCTGCCTGCTATGTAGGAGCCTCACTCTTTCTCAAGTTCTTCTCTGTAAATTCTGAAGCCTTCAGGTGATCCCTTCATGTGTGGTCAGCAAGCTAATCCTTTGCCATTTCTTTCTCTCCCACTGGGCTTTACCGGGGGCAAGAAGGGAACTCTGTTTCTATGGAAGCAGGGAGTGATTAAGTCCAACCATCCAGCAAAGCAGCTGATATATGACATATTTGTAATGCTTTTTTTTTTTTTAGAGATGGCGTCTCCCCATGTTGCTCAGGTTGAAGTGCAGTGGCTATTCACAGGCATGATCCCACTACTGATCAGCACCTGGGCCGGATCACCCCTCCTTAGGGAACCTGGTGGTTCCCCGCTCCCAGGATGTCACCATATTGATGCCAAACTTAGTGTGGACACCTGATCGACATAGCATACTACAGCCCAGAACTCCTGGGCTCAAGCGATCCTCCTACCTCAGTCTTCCGAGTAGCTGGGACTACTGTGCCCAGCTTGTAATGCTTTTTAAAAGATGGGGTCCCACTATGTTGCCCAGGCTAGACTTGAGCATTTGGGCTCAAGTGATGCGCCCACCTTAGCCTTCTGAGTAGCTGGGACTACAGGTGTGCACCACCACACCAGGCTAGTGTGTGTGTGTGTGTGTGTGTGTGTGTGCCTATGTATGTTTTGTAGAGACAGGGTTTCACCGTGTTGCCCAGGCTGTTCTCTAACCCCTGAGCTCAATCAGTCAGCCCATCTTGGCCTCTCAAAGTGCCAGGATTACAGGCTTGAGCCACTCTGCCCAGCCATTGCTCTTTATCTTTATGGCTCCAAATATGGGGCCCTTGCCTTGTGCCAAACATTATGCTGGGCATTTTACCCTCATACTTATAGATAATACTCATAGCAACTTGAGTGGGGACAGTTACAGTATTCCCACTGAACAGATGAGAAAACTGAAGCACAGAAAGATCAGTGACTGGACCATGTCAATGACCGCACGGTTAGTTAGTGACAGAGCTGGATTTTCACGACGTGTTTAAGCACTGTCCCATCAGTTGTGGCCGTTAGGCTTGGGCTGATAGCCACAGAGAGGAGAGGAAGAAGGAACATTTGGGACTGTGGGAAGTTGAAATGGTCCGTTTGCAGGCTGCCGGGGTTTAGACTGGGCAAGTTCCCAGCGCCCAGATAGAGCCGGAACGTACTACGCGACGATCCCTGAGCCACGGGGATTTCCGCGCCAGGGAAGCCAGGCTTGCCAGGTGGGTACGGCTGCCGGGGAGGGGCTTCTCAAGGCCCGCCCCATGCCCAGGTGAGCGCTCGCGACCCGTGCGGGCAGAGAATGCGACCCCGCAGTGCTCGCGAGGTGCAGGGTGCTCCTGCCTCCGGGGCCGTCGGGCCAGGTCGGCTTGGCGCGCTGAGACTGGCCGTACGGGCTGGGCTTTTGGCGGCGGTGGAAGAGGAGGTTGCCGCGCCTTGCGCGGCCCAGGTGTCGTCTCCGGGGGCGGGGTTTGGAGCCCTGCAGCGGGAGATCCCCGGCGGGACTGGCTGGCGGGCGTCGAGAGACTGAAGCGGAGGAGAGGAGGCGAAGCCGGGCGGCGCGGAGAGGCGCAGGACGCAGGCGAAGTCGCAAGGCCGCCAGCATGTTCTCTCGTAACCACCGGAGCCGGGTCACAGTGGCCAGGGGCTCCGCCCTGGAGATGGAGTTCAAACGCGGCCGCTTCCGACTCAGCCTCTTCAGCGACCCGCCGGAGGTGAGAGACCCGCGTCCCTGCCTTCCCCTTCCGCGGCTCCCGGGGGCAGCCCCGGCCGCCTCGGCCTCCTGCCTTCGTCCGCGCGCATGCTGAGGGACGGAGACGCCACGGTCTGGGTACAAACCTGACGGAGTTATTGACTTAAAAAGTAAGGTGTGGACAGTCTGCCCTTTCATCAAATCAGTGCTGCCCTAGACATTCCCCGGCCTGGCTGGGATGATTTGCTTGTGTCTGGAAAAACCCCGGGTTATCTCAACTTGGAGAGCCCCAGCTCGACTCCCAAAATGGGCCTGGACCCCAAAATGTCCTGAGCATTCCCGGGCCAAGGGCGGTGGGCAGCTAGGGGGGGCCCAAACGCTGGGACTCTTGGCCTGGCCTCCCGCTCGTTCCCCTGCCGCCAGCCCCATCCCACAACCTGTCGCAGCCACCTTGACCAGCCTGTCATCAATCCCGACTTCTAGGTCGAGGCCGCTCGCTTCTCCGAAGCCCTATTCCAAGGCTCCTCTGTGCCCCTGCAGAGCTTTTAACTCTTTGGGGTTACTTCCAACACGAAAAATTTCCGCCTCCTTTCCTGGGGCCTAAGAGGAGTCCAGCCCCTAGGCTGAGCGTCCCCCGCCCCGCCCCGTCCGCCTTCCACGCGTTGCCCCGTTGGAGCCCCACCTGTAACTCCCTAGAGGCTAGGGTGGGGGTGAAGGTGTGTGGCTGAGTTGGGACTGAGAGGGCGGGTAGCTACCCCAAAGACTCTTCTGTCCCGAAGGTCAGACTCACACTTGCCCAAGGAGAGCCCAGTTCCAAGCCTTCCCTTCCGGGCATGGAAAGGGTTAAGTGAGGTGGGCCTTCCTCCCGCCCCCTCGCCTTCCCAGCTGGGATTCCAGTCCAGGCTTCTGCCCTTTCCCTCCAGCCTGCCCAGAACAAAGGCTGTTTCACACCCTTGTCCCGGTATCCTGGGCCTTCTCTGACTCAGAAGCTAATGGACCTGGGGGAGAGAGGGCCTACTTCGGGTCCCCTTTCCCCAAAGCGACTGGGCTCGAGGAACCTGCTTGGGGCCAGTGTGGGGGAGTAAGGGGCGAGGCCCGGGTCCAGGGGAGGGGCCTGTGAACTGGGGCCGCCCCTCGGGATTAGCCCGGCCTTCGGGGCCAGAGCCGAGGAGCTGGGGCGGAGCCACAGGGCCCCGCGTTTGCCAAGGGGAGTGTGACTCCGTGGGCCTGGCGTGGAGGCGGGGGAGCTAGGCTGCAGCTGGCTGGGAATCGGGGCTGGTTTCCTGTCTGGAAGGGAAGGGGCCTGCAGAAGGGAGCGGGGACAGCAGCAGACAGGCACACCCCTGCCTTCCTCCCTCCCTCTCCTCCCTTCTCTGGAAAAGCGAGGTAATTGTGAGCCCAGGGTGGAGTGGGCTGGATGGGGGCCCTGAGTTGAAAGGGGTGGCCCTGGGGCTGGGCTGCGTTACCAACTCACCCGTTTTTCTACTCCCTGGGCTCACTCTCCCCTGAGGTCCTCACCTCTGTGGCTCTTTTGCCTAACTTTCTCTAAGCCCAAACCCCTCTCAGAAAGCGCCAACCTCATGTAAACCCCATGACTCTGTAGAACCTGCATGAGGCGTAGTTTCCCTGCCCCCTTCCAGTTGTGCCTGCCCCTCACTGCCCTCTCTGCACACAGATTCTCTGTCCACCAGGCCAGGGATGTGGGCGGGGGCTGGGGAGCGGCCAGAGTCGGAATGAAAGGGCCTTTTTCTTCCACAGCTGGGAGAACAGCTGCCACCAAAGCAAGACTGGACACTCTGTGCCCAGAGCCCCCTCTGCAGTTGGCCTTTCCTCCTGGGACCCCACTCATCCTCACTTTGCTTTCCTTTTCTCCCCTGCCTGGCTCCCAGCAGGGCCCTGGAGCAGCAGTAGGCAAGGAAAATTTGTCACAGCAGCCAGAGGGGTCTAACAGGAGTGTAGAGGGATAAGGGCAACTTCTGCCCTCTGCCTAAGAGCTGTCCACCTCTTTCAAGACTGAGGGAACAGTGAGAGGAGGAACTGTGGGACAGTGTGGCACCTGTCTGTCTCCTCTCTGGAGGGGTCGACAAGGGAAAGGGCACCAGGGGGCACAGAGATGCAGGACAGATTGCACATCCTGGAGGACCTGAATATGCTCTACATTCGGCAGATGGCACTCAGCCTGGAGGTAATCCCCTGACCCTTGGAGTATACACCTCCTTCACTTGCATCCCAGCCCCAATATTGGCCCTGCCCATTCCTGCTAGATCGTGTTGGGGAGAGCCAGGCCTGCTTAAAGTGGGAGAGGGACAGGTGGTTCCCTATGCCTTGTGTTGGGTGCAGTGCGTGGACCCAGGCTCAGTTTTGCCCATCAGAGTCTTGTGTTGGCAGCAGGGTTTTCAAGAAGCTCTGTGGGTGAGTGTGGATGCCTGTTCTGGGGACAAGGATTCCTTTTAGGTATGGGAAGAAGAGAGGAGTTCAATGTGAGAGAGGTTTGCAGAAAGGAGGTAGCCTTACAAGAGAAGAAAAAGACTGGGCTGTAAGGATTCTGTTGGCCCTTGAGACGGCAAGATGTTGTTCATTCATGTATTTGTTTTTTTCAATGCTTTGTAGAGGCAAGATCTCACTATATTGCCCAGGCTGGTCCTAAACTCACAGGCTCGAGTGATCTCCCCACCTCGACCTCCCAGAATGTTGAGATTATAGGCATGAGCCACTGTGCCTTGCCCTATTTATTCTTAAACACATTTATTGAACATGTACTATGTGCCAAGTTCCTTTTTAGACCATAGGATACCTCAGTGAACAAGACAAATAAGTTCCATTTTAGTGGGAGAACAGAAATATACATTCAAACACATAAATAATCACATAAGGAAATTATTATGAAAACAGGGATGTGATGAAAATCAGATGGGAGAAGGAACATTAGATGTGGAGGTCAGGGGAGGCCTCTGTGGGGAGATCTTTGAGCTGAGCCCAGGGGATTTGGAGATGTGTGAAGACTGGAGGAAGGACAAAGCCCCTGAGATGAGGATGAGGGTAATATATTTGTGGGAAAGAGAGAGCCAGTGTGGCTGGAGTTTAGTAGTTGGGGTAGAGCTGATGGGCAGGGGCCAGATAATGCAGGGCCTTGAAGACCATAAGGTGCCTAGATTTCACCTTAAGTGTGATGTTGGGTCATGGAAGGGTTTTAAGCAAGGGAATGACTTGTGCCTGGTGGGAAGTTGAGGGTAGGGTTGGGGGAGGATGATTGGCAAAAGAGATCGCAAAAGTCTACCAGGTGGGAGGCTGTTACAGTCATAGGGGAGTGAAGCTGGTGGTGTGAATTAAAGTGCAAATGGTGGAGAAAGGGAGTGGATTTCAAATGGTAGTGGTAGGTCTGACAGGATTTGCTGATGGATTGGATGGGAGGGGTAAGGCAAAGCAAGAGAACTCCAGGATGATTCCCAGGTATGTGGCTAAGCAGTGGGTGGTGTGGCCGTTTACTGACATGGGGAAGATGGAGGAAGTTGTCGAAGTGACTGCCTGGACCAGGCAGGGGCTGCTGCTAAGAGAGGTCAGAGGCAGGACTGCAGAGTCTAGGTCAGGAATGGCGGGGTATTGTATGTGCTGTCCTGCCCCAACTCCCTGGATCATAGTAGATGTTACTGGTCAGTTTTGGCACTCTTTATCTATGAACCCAGACCTGGCCTCAGAATCTTTCTCAGCACCATCTTGGCATAAACTGTGCAGGTTTTGTTCTTCACACAGATGCCAGCCAGAGGTGGGAGTCCTGGTCCAGTTTCAGCTGCATCAGGCGGCTGAAAACAAATTAGCTTTATCTAATTTGTTTGCCTGGAGAGGGTCACCTCTTTCTAATTTGTAGAAAGGTGTCCAGTGAACTCATTGGGACCCTACCTAATTATCCTCCATCAGTGTATGAGATAAAACCTATTTGCCATTCATAGTCCTCTGCACTGTCCACACTACTAGTTACATATGGCCATTTAAATCTTACTTTTAGTTAATTAAAAAGAACATTTAGTTCCTTAGTTGCTGTAGCCACATTTCAAGTCCTAGATGGCTACTGATCATTTCCAACACCGCAGAAAGTTTTTTTGGACAGAGCTGGTCGAGGTATGTAAATGTTTAAATTCTGCATCCTTCCCTCCTCCAAAAAATGTAATTTTTTTCTCTGGGAGACCTGTCCAAGTACTGGGGCAGAGGAGGGGCTTGGTTTCACTTTGGTCACTCTCCTTTAGCCATGGCTAAGGGTGCTGTGTTCTTTCTCAACCAAGTTCAGCAGGTCCTCAAAAGAGAGACCCATTGATGTTTCAGGGATTGGCAAAAGAGATAGTCATGGAAGAGTAAATCCAAGAAGACTTTCTGGAGGAAATGACTTAAGCTGCAAGTAAAGGGAGCTTATTTTAAAATATGTGCTAGGTCCATGTAGAGTTGAGACTTTCCCATATAATTCTCAATGCTACAAAGGAGGTGGAGTGCCCCCATTTTACAAACTCAGGCTCCAGGGGTTAAATTCTCATGGCTTGTCAAGTCCCTAAGCCAGGATTTGTTCTTAGCCCTGGTGGAGATTCTGAAGGGGACAGAAGATGGTGAGAAGCAGAGCAGGAAGCCAGAGACAGAAAAGACTGGGAGGGGTGGAAGGGATATCAACAGGGGGCCTAATGTGTGTGGGGCACATGACTCATCCTCTAGCCTCTTGGGATCTGACCCAGGTCCATCTGACACCCAGCTCTGGGCTCTTTCCCAGGAGAGCCTGGGGAAATGCTGCCCACTTGGGGACAGGGTGTGGTTTGGGTGGGGAGGGGGCAACAAGGAACTATCCCTGTAGTGGGGAAACGCTGGAAGCACAAAGGTCCAGATCCTGAGCCAGGATTCCCTAGGTCTTCTCCCTGAAAGAGTGGGAGCCAGTTTCCTAGGGCGCTCCTGGCCTAGGGCCATGGGAGAGCGGATCTGGGGCTGGAGAGCAGTAGGGAAATAGAGGAAGTGTCTGGATTCGTGGTCCCGCTCATCCATGCTGGGCCCAGCGACCTCCCTAGGGCCCCACTCCCAATTTATACAGTATCCGCCCTCCATACTCTCAGGCAAGGGGTCATATTGGAGGGCAAACGCTACGGGGGAGGGGCCTCCCGGGCTGGAGCACGTTGCGATGGCCCAGAGACATTTCCAGGGCTGCGCGGGTGCACTCCCGGAGATCCCGTCGCGCCGACCGAGTCTCAGTGGTTGCAGCGCCTTGAGCCAAGCCGGGCCGATTGCCCGCAGGGATTTCCCGCACCCCGGTACCCTTCAGTTGCTCTCGCGGCAATTGGGAGCTGATGTCACCAGCGCCCTGAGCGCTGCGGCTGGAGGCGGTGCGGCTACTCTGGCGCCCCGGCTCCTCTGATTTCCCGCGGCTCTCAGGCCCCCACCGGCTCTCCAGGCCAGTGCTGCTCTAAGGACCTCCTGCGCCTCTGCGTGCCTCTCTCAATGGACAGGGCTAGGGAAGGATCCGTGAGTGCTGGGACTGGGATGAGACTAGCCAAGATGGGGGTTGAGGACACCTCTGTGTTCCCCTCCTGCCCGGCTCTCACTCATTTGGGATGTTCATGGCTGAAGCTGGGTGCAGACTGGGGTGGGGGTTGTCAAACAGCGTCGAACCCTGGTGTTGACAAAACTAGGCTGGGAGGACCTATGTAGTCTGAAAGGGCTTCCTGGTGGAGGGGCTTTGGGAAAGGATTGGCTTATTTCAGAAGGAAAACAGATGGATTGTGATGAGGGAAGGTGTTAAAGTCCAGCCTAGCACAGTGGCCCAGAAAATATGCAAGGAAGCATCTGTAGGCAGGCAGGACAAGGGTTTTAGAAGAGGGAATTTAGGGTGTTCAAGTCTGAGAGACTTGAAGAAGGCTGGAGCACCTGGGGACAGATGCAAGGGCACAGGGAGTGGAGGAGAGTGGTGTGAGGAAAAAGACAGATTTGGGGTAGTTACATTAGTCCCCCTCTCAAATGGGTGGCTCCACTTGTCTCTTGAACCAATTTGTATACTGTGATGGAGTTAGTCTTCCAACTCCTCTCTGAAGCTTTCCTTTATCACCTCAGCCAGAAGCAAACAAAATCTGTTTCTTGTGAGCATGGTTGTGCCATGACATGGCACTTAACAGAGCAGCCATTAAAGTCGTCATCTCTCACTTCCCAGCTGAATTTACATTTTTTTTTTTTTGAGACGGAGTTTCGCTTTTGTTACCCAGGCTGGAGTGCAATGGCGCGATCTCGGCTTACCACAACCTCCGCCCCCTGGGTTCAGGCAATTCTCCTGCCTCAGCCTCCTGAGTAGCTGGGATTACAGGCACACGCCACCGTGCCCAGCTAATTTTTTTGTAATTTTTAGTAGAGACGGGTTTCATCATGTTGACCAGGATGGTCTCGATCTGCCGACCTCGTGATCCACCCGCCTTGGCCTCCCAAAGTGCTGGGATTACAGGCTTGAGCCACCGCGCCCTGCTGAATTTACATTTAATGTAGAGCCTTGGATAGCACAGGGATGCTCCAGTGTTGACTGAGTAAATGTTGCTGCCACCAAAGTATAGCATGATTAAAATAAACATTCCTGCCATTCATGTATGCCATGGGCTCGGCATTGTGCTAAGTGCTTTACGTTCCTGCCTCACAGAATTCTCATAACCCTAGGATGTAGGGACTGTTTTCATTCCTGCTTTACAGATGAGGAAACTGAGGCTTAGAGAGGTTGAGCAAATTGCCCATTGCTTTTTAAGCGGGACCTCCAGGGCTCCTTTCTAAGTGAATATTCCTGGCAATCCTGGTGTCTCTCCCAGTGCTTCTCAGCTGGCCCTTATCCACAGCCCCTCACTCCGGAACCACCTACTTTCCCATCCCCATTCCTTGCCTCTGACCTCACTTCCCAAGCTCAGAGGGCCAGTAGGTGGTGGGTCTCGTAATCTGGGGTATATGGAGTTCAGTGCAGTTGCGGTGAACTTCGTGGGTAGGTGGATGCTCCTTCTCCACTGATCCCTTACCAACTAGATGTTGAGTCTAAGGGATAACCCTCATTTACCTTTCCTTCTGTCCATTCCCATGAGTTGCTGGTTTTCAACCTGGCTGTACCTCAGAATCACTTGGGGAGTTTTCCAAAAGTACATATGCCCCACTCCTAGAGACTCTTATTCTGCAAATCTTAGGTAGGGCCTGGTAATTATTTTTAAAACTCCAAAGATCTATTGCTTTTTAAAGGAAATATAATTTCCAGTAGTACAGAAGGTATGTATAAAGTATTATTAGGCTGGGAGCAGTGGCTCAAGACTGTAATCCCAGCACTTTGAGAGGCCAAGGCGGGCAGATCACTTGAGGCCAGGAGTTCGAGATTCGTCTGGCCAACATGCTGAAACTCTATCTCTACTAAGAATACTAAAGTTAGGCCGGGCATGGTGTCTCACGCCTGTAATCCCAGCGCTTTGGGAGGCCAAGGCAGGTGGATCACCTGAGTTCAGAAGTTCAAGGCCAGACTGGCCAACATGGTAAAACCCTGTTTCTACTAAAAATACAAAAATTAGCCATGTATGGTTGCTCACACTTGTAGTCCCAGCTACTCGGAAGGCTGAGGCAGGAGAATTACTTGAACCTGGGAGGTGGAGATTGCAGTGAGCTGAGATTGCGCCACTGCGCTCCAGCCTGGGCAACAGAGTGAGATTTGGTCTCAAAAAAAAAAAAAAGTATCATAAATGTTATCCATTCCTGGCTTCCAGGCCCACAACCACTAATGTTTTATGCATAAACATGCATATCTATGTACAAGTATATGTATACATATGCATACACACATATATATCATGCACAAATGGTAGTATGTGTAATACTACTTTATTTTCTTGCATCATTTATTTTGGAGATTGTTTCATATCTGCATACATATGCATACCTCATTCTTTAATGTCTGCAATAGTACAGGGTACAGATGTGCTGTTACTTATTTAACCAATGTCCTACTGAAGGGGTTTTAATTTTGGTGTTTAAAACAATGCCACAATGAATATTTTGTATGTATGGCTTGACCTAGTTATATGTGAAACTGTAAGTGTAAGATAAACTCCTAGGTATTGGATAGCTGGATCAAAGGATATATGAATCTGTAGTTTTCATAGATTTTTCCAAATTGCACTCAAAAGATGCTGAAGAAATGTATACTTCTAACCATCAAACGCATGAGGACATCTCCATCTTATTTGTCATATATTTTTTTAGAGGTGGGGTCTCACTATGTCGCCCAGGCTGGCTTTGAACTCCAAGGGATCCACCTGCCTCAACTTCCCTCGCACACCACTACACCTGGCTACAAAGCTGCTCTGGTCATTCGTGGGCAGCTGAGATTGAGACCCAATGCTTGCTCTTGAACTGCCTAAAACATTAGTTTCTTGTCAGTTTTACTGGCCATAACCGACTTGGGGACTGGGGAGTGCTTTAGCCTCTCTCTGACCGACATTTCCTTCTCACCCTTCCCCCAACCCTGGCTAGGACACAGAGTTGCAGAGGAAGCTAGACCACGAGATCCGGATGAGAGAAGGGGCCTGTAAGCTGCTGGCAGCCTGCTCCCAGCGAGAGCAGGCTCTGGAGGCCACCAAGAGCCTGCTAGTGTGCAACAGCCGTATCCTCAGCTACATGGGCGAGCTGCAGCGGCGCAAGGAGGCGCAGGTGCTGGAAAAGACAGGCCGGCGGTGAGCAAGGGGGAGGCGAGGCCTTGACAGAAGCAGGAGGCCTTCTGGGTGGTGGTGGTGCCGCATGTGCCTGTGTGGTGTGTGGACCACCCTAAAGATGACTTCCCCACAAAGTCTTATCAGGGACCTGGGAGAGACCTTGGTGTTTTACCACCATCGTGAGTTGCCCAGAGGTGCACTTGTGAGTAGCCAGGGCAGGACTTAGGAAAGCTGGTGTGTCTGGTGAAAGGTAGGCAATCTGAAGGGTAGCAAGTAATGCAAAAGCACTAATTTGGTAAGCCCTATCTGTGATCCAGTGAGACTGGCTATCTGGCTTTTGGAAAACTAATTCCCTCAACGCTCGTTCACAAAATGGCCAATTTACCACATACGGACAATAGTTTCTTATATCTGGGGTCCACCATCCAGAGGCAGGGATTGGGAAAGGAAATAAGAAACCTCTTAAGGAAAGCCTACCCATTCAAACAAATTAGATTGTGCATTCTAAAAGGGCTCAGCTTCTGGATGTAAAATGTAAGCTACACTGACATTAGACTGATGATCTGACAAGTCTAAAGTGACTTGATTGAAGTGATGCCATGATAAAACCAAAATATTGGGGAAAATATTTGGCAAATTATTCTAAGAATATGCCAATTTCAGTAAAGTGGTCATTTGGAGAACTGGTTTTTAGGAAAGTGGCCTATTTACTCCACTGAGGCTGCTTGGAGAAATGGTCCCAGCCCCTCACAGGCATGGTGCCCATTCCAGCCATGAAGGCTGACACAAGGGGTCTCTACTAGTCAGTAATTACTTTAGTGGCATTATGAATAAGTACAGGTGAACTGGCTGTCGTTTCAGGAAAGGGGCACATGTAGTGAGTCCTGATGATGGGCAGGGAGGGAAGGACAGTGGGTGTTGGGCGCTGCAGTGGGGTGGGGGGAGGGCTGCAGAACTTGGGGCACTAGTAGGGTGCAGATATGGGGCCAGGAGGAAAAAGGAGAAATCAAAGTTGGGGAGTGATAGGGATGAAGAGTCTGTGGTAAATGGAACATAACTGTTCTCCATTGGTGATTTTCCTTTCAACAAACATTGGCCAAATTATTTTCTGACCCAGTACCCTCTTATATAAAAGAAGTAATGGGATGGTGGAAAATAAGCAGCCTTCCTATTGTTTTTAAAAAAAAAAAAAAAAAAAAAAAAGCCTGGAAAGCCCTCCAAGCCAGGGATTTAAAGGCGAGCCCTTGAAATGAAGTCTCTCTGTGGGCACCTGTCCCCTGAAGGCCACACCTGTCCTTGGCAGGGGTCTGGGGAGGTAGTCAAGGAGGGTGCTTGGAGAGAGGAGCCCTGAGCTTGTGCCTTATGTATGAGTTAATGTGGCTCAACTGTCCCTAGTATCCTGAAAACCTGGCAAATTGCTGGATTCAATGGACAACTCTCCCTTACAACCCCTTGGCCCTGCCAGCCTGGCTAGGGACCTTGAGGCTGAGGCCCTGGGACCAGGGGGATCCTAGAGCCCTTGGGAACCAGAGCAAGGGGGAACAGTGGCTAGAGGCCAAGGCCAGGACATTGTGATTTATCCACAGGCCTTCTGACAGTGGCCCGCCTGCTGAGCGCTCCCCCTGCCGCGGCCGGGTTTGCATCTCTGGTAAGAAGCACAGCTACCCCAGCTGCTGGCACCCATTGCCCAAGTACACAGCCTCCTGCCCCATCTCAACATCTATTCCTACCTCCCTGCCCCTTAGACCTCCGGATTCCACTCATGTGGAAGGACACAGAATATTTCAAGAACAAAGGTGGTGAGTTCCTCACACCCTGGGACAAATTCAGGGGAATGACCCTGAAGTAGGAGGCTCTTGTGGGAATTTTTTTTTTTTTTTTTTTTTAATGAATTTTGCCCTCTTTGTCCCCAGACTTACACCGCTGGGCTGTGTTCCTGCTGCTGCAGCTGGGAGAACACATCCAGGACACAGAGATGATCCTGGTGGACAGGACCCTCACAGACATCTCCTTTCAGAGCAATGTCCTCTTGTGAGTACCTCAAACTGTGGCTGCCTCCTTCCTCCACTCTGCTCCAGTTCCCTGGGTGAGAGAGTTCCAGGGGAGGAAGAGGAGTGGGTATGGGGGAGGGGAGAAGCACCTGGTCTTCAGCTGTCCTGCACTTGCCCCACCCATATCCCCCACCCTTTGTGTCCCTGTATTTTCCTGTGACCACCCTCCTTTACTCCTCCCACCAGCACTGAGGCGGGGCCAGACTTTGAACTGCGGTTAGAGCTGTATGGGGCCTGTGTGGAAGAAGAGGGGGCCCTGACTGGCGCCCCCAAGAGGCTTGCCACCAAACTCAGCAGCTCCCTGGGCCGCTCCTCAGGGAGGCGTGCCCGGGCTTCGCTGGACAGTGCTGGGGGTTCAGGGAGCAGTCCCATCTTGCTCCCCACCCCAGCTGTGGGGTAAGGCCTTGCACACCCCCACTGCCCTCAGCTGCCTATATTCTGCCCACAGGTGATCTTTGAACAGCGCTGAGTGTGCAGAACCCATTTTGCATTGCTGCCAGGACGTGCAGGCAGACAGGAATAAGCAGTGGCCACATAGCTGGGAGGCATTCCAGCCAGTGCTCCAGAGCTGGGCTGAAGCCAGTCCGGAAGACCAGTAGGAAGGCAAGGAGCATTAGGCTCTGGGGTCTTAACTTTTTAGCAGCAGCAAATACATTTTATTTTTATTTTTAGAGATGGGGTCTCACTGTCTTGCCCAGGCTGGTCTTGAACTTCTGGGCTCAAGTGATCCTCCCACCTCAGCCTCCCAAAGTGGTAGGATTACAGGCGTGAGCCACAACACTCAGCCTAGCAAATACATATGATGTGGATAGAGCAGAGCTTCTTGGTTGGAGCAGAGTACTCTGAGACCTGTGGTGGTGCCTACCTGCATCTGGAGATACCTCATGGGACCACTGAGACTCTGAGAAGCAGTTTGACAACCTTTGGGTAATGAACAGAGTACTGATTTTGGACACAGATATAGGTTCAGATTCCAGCTCCACCACTTACAACTATAAATTATGAGCAAGTTTCTTAACCTCTCTAAGCCTCAAATTGCCTCATCTAGTTGAAGAAAGCCACCAACCTCACAGGGCTGTTGCAGGAATACAGTGGGATAAAATATATAAAGCAAAGGTCCTGACACTTAGCTGAAGCTCCATCAATGCTCATTCCTAACTCTCTGGAGAGGCAAGTGAGTTTTCTGTGGGGCAGCCTGAACAATGGGGCAGATCTGCTAAGTCCTTAGAGTTCCTGCTGGCCAACACGCCCCTCCCTTGGCTGATGCTCTCTCCTATCTCCCTCAGTGGTCCTCGGTACCATCTCTTGGCTCACACCACACTCACCCTGGCAGCAGTGCAAGATGGATTCCGCACACATGACCTCACCCTTGCCAGTCATGGTAAGTATGTGTGTGCATGGGGGACACACACGTGGTGGTGAGAAGAGGGGCTGTGGGACAGTACCCTTCTCATTCCCCTGCCTCACCCTGTACTTCCTCCTCCCCTAGAGGAGAACCCTGCCTGGCTGCCCCTTTATGGTAGCGTGTGTTGCCGCCTGGCAGCTCAGCCTCTCTGCATGACTCAGCCCACTGCAAGTGGTACCCTCAGGGTGCAGGTGAGGGGGCCCTGAGGAGTGGAAGGGAGCAGGGAGAAAGAAGGCAGAGGAGAGGTAGATAACCAGGAGTAGAAGAGCTAATGAAAAGTCAAGATTTGGGTGGAAGAAGTGGGGTATGGAAGATGAGGGGAGTAATGGACAGCAGTGTGGACAAAAATAATAGGTTCTCATTGGTGGGGGGAGCTAAGAAGAGGGATACTGGGGGGTGTGACTCCCCCAGAACATGTTGAGTCATTTGTGCAGCAAGCTGGGGAGATGCAGAACTGGGCACGAGTGCATGGAGTTCTGAAAGGCACAAACCTCTTCTGTTACCGGCGACCTGAGGATGCCAATACTGGGGAAGAGCCGCTGATTACTATTGCCATCAACAAGGTGATGGGTCCCTTGGTAGTGAGGCCACCAAGGGCATGGGCCCAGGAGCCTCTCCTTCAGGCCCCAGGAGGGTGGGCACATACCTCATAGAAGCAGGCTTCCCGCTCCTGACAGCACCACATCCAGCATCACTGCGTGAGGACTGTCCATTTACTTGCCATCCTCATTCCCTGCCAAGTCTCAGAGAGGGTTCTCTCACCTACCAGTTCAGGGTTTTTCATCCTCTCTCCCTCATATTAGAATTGTATCGACTTTACCACTTCCTGTTTCCCTCCAGGTCCAATTGCCCTTCTTTGCTCCCTATCCCTTTTGTTGGCTTTCCTGCCTGTTTTTGGCAGTTCTGAGGGACCTCTGGCTGGAGCATACTTGTACCTCTGTGACTTCCCTGCCTTGCTCAATTCCTTTTTCCTTTCCTCAAGCTGCTCCTCCTCCCGACTCAGGACTGGCTGTCTCATCCCTTTTTTTTTTTGCCATTCCTTCCTACTCTGGTCAGTAGGAAGCAAATGACAGGGCTCAGCAAAAGCCCCCAAGCTCATCCTTCTAAGGCAGGAGTGATCAAGGCTGCCTGATTGTCACTGCCAACTTCTGTGACCAAAGTAGACCTCTTCTTTCTCCTGCAGGAAACTCGAGTCCGGGCAGGCGAGCTGGACCAGGCTCAAGGACGGCCCTTCACCCTAAGTATCAGTAACCAATATGGGGATGACGAGGTGACACACACCCTTCAGACAGAAAGTCGGGAAGCCCTGCAGAGCTGGATGGAGGCTCTGTGGCAGCTTTTCTTTGACATGAGTAAGAGAGAAGGGGGCTGGGTTGAACCTTCGGGAGGGACTGGAGTTTGTCATTTTTTTCCAAAGGCCTGAATTTCAAGATTGCGTGGAAGGGAATGTAGCAGGAGAAAGGGTGGCCTGGCCCTCTCTAATCAGTGCTCTTCCTCCAGGCCAGTGGAAGCAGTGCTGTGATGAAATCATGAAAATTGAAACTCCTACTCCCCGGAAACCACCCCAAGCACTGGCCAAGCAGGGGTCCTTGTACCATGAGATGGGTAAGTGAGAGGAATGTGCACTCCAGGAAGCTGTTGGGAAGTAGGGTTGGGGACGTCGAGAAACTAGATGATAGAGAGAAAGCACACGCTGAGCTACACCCGATCTCCAGGGACCCAAGTCTCACCCAGTCCCGTGTGTTCCTTTCTCCTCTCCAACTCTTCTTAGAATCACCTCCACCAAAGTTCAAAACAAAACCCCAATGAGCCAAGATCATTTCATGGATTTCTTTCCTAATTTCTTCTTTTCTGTTTCCCTTTCTGCATGTGGATTCCTGTCTCTTCCTCTGACCCTTCATTTGCCTGGCACTGCTTTCATTTTTCTCCTCTTTCTTGGTTTCTTCACCCACCTCTGCTTCCCACCCCTCACCCCCATTCCCATCTACCTTGTCCTGGGTCCCACAGTCTTATCAGAGCCTGTAGCCCCAGGGGGCCCAGATGAGGGGCTGCTCCTGCAGGATAATGCAATCTCGGCTGAGATCCGGGCTTTGCTTTCCTCCTATTACAGTGACAGGTGATAGGGCTGGGTAGACTTGGGGCCTGAACTCTGACTAGCCCACCCCACCCCAACCCCTTCCTGGTGCCACAGCTATTGAGCCGCTGGATGACATCGCAGCGGTGACAGACATCCTGACCCAGCGGGAGGGCTCAAGGCTGGAGACGCCCCCACCCTGGCTGGCAATGTTTACAGACCAGCCTGCCCTGCCTAACCCCTGCTCGGCTGCCTCAGTGGCCCCAACCCCAGCCTGGACCCAACCCCTGCCGTGGGGGAGACCCCGAACCTTTTCCCTGGATGCTATTCCCCCAGTCCACTCCCCTAGGGCTCGCTCGGTTGCCCCCCTCCCACCTCAGCGATCCCCACGGACCAGAGGCTTCTGCAGCAAAGGTCAACCTCGCACTTGGCTCCAGTCACCAGTGTGAGAGAGAAAGGTGCTGGCATAGGATCTACCTGGAAAAGAAAATGACCCATGCGCAATTGGACTCTGGATACGGTGCTGTCTACAGCAAGATGGCCAGCCTGGCCTCCTTTTCCTCTGCTGGACTTGGGATAGGCTGCACAGGCGGGCAGAAGCCCCTCCTAAATTGTGGTTCCCATGGTACCAAGGAACTCATTCCTGGGGCTGGCTGGGACCTCCCTAAACTCTTCCTGGAAGAAAACTGGAATGACCTCTGCCCTACCTCCCTGCACTAACCAGCTTTGAGGATGGCACTGAAGAGCCCTTGTGACTCCCACATCAACCATTAAAGTTATTTAACAGCAGCCTTCAACTGGCTCCTGAGGATAGGGTGCCTCTCTCTGCCTGGTCTAGACCTGCCTCACCTCACCCCTGGAGCGTAGTTCACCAACTGTGAAATATGACTGTGATACTGAGTAATCAGACAAGGGCTGGGTGGAGCGGGTACTTTATGAATACCACAGTGACAGAGGAAGGCTGCTCTTCTCACACACTGCTGAATCTCCGGATCTCTGCGAGGTCATAGCCAGTCACAGCAAAGGAGCTGCCTGAGGAATCACAGAATCGAGCACCACACACCTGGGTGTCGGAAACACACTCACCATGACAGTGTTCCACCTGGGGGGGGCAGAGGGCTAGTCAGGGCCTGCTGCCCCATGCTTGGGCCCCCATTCCACCCATCCCATGATACATACCTCAATGTAGCTGCTCTCTGGGCTTCTGCTCAGCTTCCAGATATGCACAAAGGTGTCCTCAGCTGCGGAGAGTAGCTGTGGAAGAGGAAGAGGGGGAGTCAGAATGCCCTGACAGGGGACAGGTATAATCTGGAATGCCCAGTCCAGGTGCCCCAGGGAGGAGGCTATGCTGAGTTGCAAACACAAGCCTGTGGTGTTCTCTCAACATTCCACTGCCACGAAAAAGGGTATGTAGGGACAGAGGAGGACACTGACCTTGCCCACCTCAGGAGCCAGGTCCAGGGCAGAGATGGCCCGGGCATGGGCATTGATCTGGACATGTAGATTTCCTGTAGTGGCCTCATACAGATGCACTTGTCCATTCCCATAGCCTGCTGCTATGATCCCCTGCCACAGCTGCACAGAGGGGCATGGGACTCTGCAAGGGGTGACACCCAACTTTTGTTTTGCCCTGACCAAATCCTACTCCCCATCCTGAAGCTACCTCAGGAAGCCCTCTACATCTCTGCTTCACCTACCCAAATCCTGGAATGCGGGTCAATAATGTGAATTCTGGCCCTGACTGCCAGACACAGAGCAAGCCTGAATCATCTGCCGTCACCATGTCAGCCACACAATCCTGAAGGGAAAGGCAAGATCAGCCCTTCCCTTTCTCCCCTGCTATGGTCCCATATACAGGGCAGGAGGGGAAGAGAGGCCGTGTGTGCATCTTTCCCTCACCAGGGAAAGAGCAAGATCTGGAGCCCTCACTAGCTAGACCCATCAGAAACCACCCCTACCAGAACCCTTCCTAAAGGCTCCCTCAGGAAGCATGAACTGCTTTCCTTGGATTTCTTCATGGAGTCCCATCCCCCAATAGCATGTTAGAAGGGGGTGCATAATTGCCTCACTGGATGGATGATAAAACTGAGGCCACAGTGTCATGACCTTCTGGAGGTCTTGTGACCAGTCACTGTCATGACTAGACCCTGGGCCTCTGCACCCCCAACACTAGGCAGCCAACATAGCCTATGGGCCTAGCCCTATGCCAGGTGCAATGGAGAATATGAATAAGAAAATACATACCTTGTTCTCAAAAGGTTTGCAAACTAACTGGGAGATAAGAGTTGTCTTTTGAGGGCAGTGCCAATTCAGGGTTCAGCTAAGAGAGATCAGTGGGAGCTAGAATATAGGGAAAGCTTCCTGGAGAGGAGAGATGGCACTAGAGCTGGGCCTGAATAGGTAGGACTTTCCCCAGAGATGGAGGCTGCACATTTCAGAACTAGAAAATATCTTAGAAACCATTTGTTCCAACTCCTCATTTCACATCAATATTATAGTCTTAGTTAAGTATAAAATACTACATAAATGTAAAGTATCTCTGGCTTTGTCACCGAACTTGGTTGCTGAAGACTAGGAAAGTGCAGATTTGCCCAAAGCCATCTACCTGTTTAGTGGCAGAGCCAAGACTCAAACCCAGGTCCCCTGCCTCCCAGGATGGGGAAGCTCCCAGGTGGGTAGGGGACGTCCACTCACCTGTCCCTGGGCAGGCTCAGTGGCAATGTCTGTGATTGGTGTCTGGTGCCCAGCCAGCTCCTCACTCAGTACAATGTTGGGACCCTTGGCTGGAATGTCAAACACCAGCACCCGGCCTGACCATGTTCCTGCAGCCAGAACCAGTGCCCCAGTGATGACTTCATGACCCTCCTGGGTCTTCAGCCACCATACTCAGCACTCACTCCATCCAGAAATCTTAGTAACAAACCCCCCTCACTGCTTCGACAGCTCTGCCCCTTCATTCACTACCCTCATCCTATCACTCTGACCCTTTGAACCCTTCCATGGTTTACTGGAGTCTCTGATTCCACTGCACTTCTACCCTCCCCTTTAACTTTCCACAATTTCCTGGCCACAGCCCACATGCCCCAGCACCCCTCCATGCCCTGCCCTTGGCTCCCTCACCCACACAAATGAAGTGGCCACTGGCAGCAATTCCCCGGGCAAACACAGCCTGTACTGAATATGAAAGGGGAGAATAATCAGAAATATCCCCTCCCGCAGCTCTAGCAAACATTCCCTGCCCCCACCCCACTTGGTTCTGCAGGTACCTGGGGTGGCATCTCCAGAGTCCAGTGCATGCCAGTAGACCATGGTGGAGCCATCAGACTCATACATCTGGAAGACAGGGGCAAGAACCAGGGGGCATAACCCAACTGACCTCTGCTGAGTTCTGTGCTGAGTACTTCACATATCATGCTAGGCTTAGCCCATTTAATCTTCAAAACTAATCTGGGATGTAGGTACTATTTTTTATCCTCATTTATTCAGAGGACGAAAGTGAGGCTGGGAAATACTGTAAGGACATACAGCTAGTAAAGGGGCAGATACTGGAGGTGGCACTTGGGAAATGGGAAAGATGGAAGGATTGAAGATAAGAAATAGAAAAAGAGTGAGTGGGCCAAGCATGTGGAAAGTTTGGAAATGTTTAGAGGCAAGTAGGAAAGAGTGTGGAAGCCTGGCAGGGGAACTAAGAAAGCTCTGGTGGGACAAGCAGGAGAGTCCTTACCTGTATTCCTCGATGTGAGGCGAGTACCAGCAATACTCGGAAGGGGAGGACACACCAGTGGACCTGGAGGGAGGTGCATCAGTATAGGGAGAAAATCAAAGCAGGGATGATGAGGAGTCAGAGTTCTTTCTTTTTTTTTTTTTTTTTTTTTTGAGACGGAGTCTTGCTCTGTCACCCAGGCTGGAGTGCAGTGGTGCGATCTCGGCTAACTGCAACCTCAGCCTCCCGGGTTCGAGTTATTCTGCCTCAGCTTCCAAGGTAGCTGGGATTACAGACACACATCACCATACTTGGCTAATTTTTTTGTATTTTTAGTAGAGAAGAAGTTTCACCATGTTGGCCAGGCTGGTCTCCAACTCCTAACCTCAAGTGATCCGCCCATCTCGGCCTCCCAAAGTGCTGGAATTACAGGCGTGAGCCACCGCGCCCGGCATGAGTGAGGATTCTGAGGTTAGGACACGCCTGCTCCTGGAGGTTTGGAGAGAAAGGGCGGGGGTAGGACTGGGTTCAGCAACATCACTCCCAACTCCATGCCTCACCTGAGTGATAAGTGGGGGGCTCACTCCAGCACCCTCCTTAGCGTGGAGCTGGCGCTGGGCCAAAGGTACACCCTCAGGAGCAGCGCTCAGAAGCTGGGCGCTTGGTCCATGAACCACACCAAAATGCGTGAGGTTGCGAGCCGGCAGCTGCAGCACACTGAGGTTGTTGCATAGAGCGGCGGCCGAACCTCGAAGGGGAATGGAGCGCTCCCAGCGAAACATCCTGTGGGAAGGTGCACCCGAATCACCATGCGCGCAACCAACAAGACGCAGCGGAGATTCCGGAGGGCGGCTATCAGCGAGCATTTCGGAAGACGTCAGAGACTGAGTCCTGGGATGGGGTGCCCCAAGGACGGTGATGGGGAGGGCCAAAAGGCGTGGGGAGAGTCTCGAGGAGCAAGACAGGGGAGTCCCAGGGCTGTTGGGGGGCGACGGGGGAATCCCAGAGGAGGAAGTGATGACACAGGACCACCCGATGGCCCCAAGCCCGCGAGCCAAGTAAGTGTGATGAAGCCCCCAAGGCTTTCTCCCTCGGCTCGGATCCCTGAGGCCCCCGGCCTAGGTCAGAGGTCATACCCGCAGCCCCAGATCGGCTCGACTGACTGCTGGTTCGTAGGGTCCCTCCAAATCCGCCGCCACCATAGAGACGACGCACGTACGCACTGCCCTTGGGCCGAGTGAGCGGCCGGAACTAGCAGCGGGCGGCGCGGTTGCCGGGGCAACTGTGGGAGGGGCGAGCGACCCGGAGTGCGTGGTTGCCGAGGCGACTGTTAGGCGGCGGCGCGGTCCGGGTGCCGCAGAAACACCAGCGTTGCAGGATCGCGTTGGCGATGGCGCATGAAGGCTCGGTGAGCTTCAGTTCAGCTGGGGATGCGCCAGAGCCAGGGTTGGCCGTTAAGGTCGGTGTTGGGAACAGTGGGCTGGCTCTGGGCCTCGGGATACCGCTACTTGCTCCCGCCCACAGCGCTGGAGTTCTAGATGACCGAGGAAGCCACGTCGATACTCGGGCAGAAAACCTACACCTGCACGGTGCCCACTCACACGACACACTTTGTCACACTCAAGTAATGAGGGACAGGGTCCGTGGGTGGTGTACAGCCTGAGAACAGGAAGTGGATTTTGAAACAGCTAATGAATGTAATAAGTCTCTTAACATTTAAATGGATAAACCAGAAACCAGGCATTTTTAACAGATAATCTATTTCGATAATTTCAAGAGGAATAAATAGGTTAAATAACAAGAGGCTACACTTGAAAGTCAAATTGTTTAAGAGCCAGTCAATTTTAAAATAAAGAAAAACAGGGTGGGTGCAGTGGCGCACGGCTGTAATCCCAGCACTTTGGGAGGCCGAGGCGGGTGGGTCCCAAGGTCGAGAGATCGAGACCATCCTGGTCAACATGGTGAAACCCCGTCTCCACTAAAAATGCAAAAAATTAGCTGGGCATGGTGGCGCGTGCCTGTAATCCCAGCTACTCAGGAGGCTGAGGCAGGAGAATTGCCTGAACCCAGGAGGCGGAGGTTGCGGTGAGCCGAGATCGCGCCATTGCACTCCAGCCTGGGTAACAAGAGCAAAACTCCGTCTAAAAAAAAAAAAAAGACCAGCCAGGCCAACATGGCGAGATTCTGTCTCTACAAAATACAAAAAATTAGCTGGCTGGCGGCACGTGCCTGTAATCGAAGCTACTCGGGAGGCTGAGGCAAGAGAATCGTTTGAACCCAGGAAGCTGAGGTTGCAGTGAGCCAAGATCGTGCCACTGCACTCTAGCCTGGGCGACAGAGAGAGACTCTGTATCAAAAAAAAAAAAAAAAAAAAAGCAGATTGAAGAGCTTTTGTTAAAAAATATCTCTGTCCTCTCTGGTCACCGTCATTGGTGTCAGATGCGAGGCTGGGAGGGAGGTCTAAGGAACCAACTCTCTTTACCCAGTCCATTCAGCCCTGCTCTAGTCAAGCTTGGCCTGGGCTGTGGGCCACTCCGGGTGCTTGCCACAGGGCTGTTCTCACTGGTGAATAGGGGTAATGAGACTTAAAGGATTTTGAGTTCAGTGCGAGACTTAGGAAACACCAGATTTGCGGGGAGAATGAATTTTAGGAAACAGGCATGAGATGAGGTTTCAGTGGAGCAATAGGCAAAGGTTTAGAAAGGTCACGTTTGAAGGTGAATTTTGGAAGGAACCAGGTTGGGGGAGACTGGTGTGAGGAATTGAGGAAGCTCCAAAGAGATTGTTTGTAAACTTTTTATGTCAGTAAAGTGAGTTTTGGGGACTAGTCTTTTTTTTTTTTTTTAAGTTATTATAAAAGGAAACAAACTCATCGTAGAGAACTTACAAAATAGAAAAGAGCATAGGAAGGAAACATACCCTCTGTTATCATTTTGATGTTTTCCTTTTGTTCAACACAAAGTGGTCTACATCTATGAGATCATAATTGATAATTTTGTATCCTGCTTCTTTCACTTACCATTACATCATAAACATTTTCTTTATGCCATTGCAAATTCTTTCTTTCTTTCTTTCTTTTATTTGAGACGGAGTTTCGCTCCTGTTTACCCAGGCTGGAGTGCAATGGCGTGATCTCGGCTCACCGCATCCTCTGCCTCCTGGGTTCAGGCAATTCTCCTGCCTCAGCCTCCTGAGTAGCTGGAATTACAGGCACGCACCACTATGCCCAGCTAATTTTTTGTATTTTTAGTGGAGACGGGGTTTCACCATTTTGACCAGGATGGTCTCAATCTCTTGACCTCATGATTCACCCTCCTCGGCCTCCCAAAGTGCTGGGATTAAGATTACCTTTAATGGCCAGATGTGGTGGCTCACACCTGTGAGGCAGGTGGATCACTTGAGGCCAGGAGTTCAAAACCAGCCTGGCCAACATGGTGAAACCCATACTAAAAATATTTTTAAAAATTAGCCAGGTGTGGTGGCAGAGGCAGGAGAATCACTTGAACCTGGGAGGCAGAGGCTGCAGTGAGCCAAGATCGCACCACTGCACTCCAGCCTGGGTGACAGAGCAAGACTCTGTCTCAAAAATAAAGACAAGCAAACAAAAAAAGACTACCTTTAATCATTACATAATATTTCATTATAGCATAGTCAATTATTTATTCTCTTTTTAAAACATGTTTTCAATATTCTGCTATTATAAACAAAACCACAAAGAATTTGTTGGAGAACATATTTTTATCTTCATTTCATAAAATGCCTTTTGGTTGTGTTTATAGAACTGAAATTGCAGAGTTGAAGGAGCAAAAACATTTTTTAATGTCTTCATGCATACTGCTGCAGGATGGTGTCACACCAAACCTTTGCCAATGTATTCTTATTTTTAAAATAATTTCTAATTTGATGAACTAGAAATCAGAATCTCAATACTATATTTATTAGTCATCTACAGTCCCTCTTTTGTGAAATGTCATGTCCTTTGCTTCTCTTTGGAATCTTAAATGGTTTTCCTTCTTATAGTTTAAATTTTTACTGTAAAATAGCCCAAACTGGACTTGAATTCCTGGGCTCAAGCAATTTACTGCAATATAGCCCAAGCTGGACTTGAACTCCCTGCCTCAGCCTCCTGAGCAGCTGGAACTATGGGTATGTGCCACTGTGCCTGGCCATTTTTCTTCCATTTTTTAATTTTATTATTTTTTAAAAGATAGAGTCTCTGTGTTGTCCAGGCTAGAATGCAGTAGTGGGATCTTAGGTCACTGCAAACTCTGCCTCCCAGGTTCAAGTGATTCTTGTGTCTCAGTCTCCCTAGTAGCTGGGATTACAGGCGCCGACCACCATGCCTGGCTAATTTCTGTATTATTAGTAGAGCTGGGGTTTCACCATGTTGGCCAGGCTGCTCTGAAACTCCTGACCTCAAATGATCCACCTGCCTCAGCCTCCCAAAGTGCTGGGATTACAGGCATGAACCACCACGCCCAGCCAATTTTTCTTCTTTTATATGAGCTTTCAATTTACATGGGGATATTTATCTTTTTTCAAGTTTGTTTTAAATGTCTTTGGTTGAGAGGCTCTGGAGTCAGACTTGCATGTGAATGGATTCTGACTTCACTACCTCTTCTTGTGTGATACTGGGTAAATTATCATAAAATGGAGAAAAGAATAGTTGGTAAAAAAATGTAGAAAAGTTTTTAAGCTCCCTAGTCGGGGCTGTGCTCCTCTAATTGGGACTCTGAGCCCCGAGAAGGCATCCAGTATTTGCAACCAGCCAAAACGGCATTGGAGCCAGGCCAGTCCTCAGGGCCCCTCACCGCCACTCCAGGCAACCCGGAGCGCACACTGCAGGCCGGCTACCGAGCTCCCACATCCCAGCCATCATTCTTCCACCTGCCCCTTAGAGTAGAGAAGATGAGCAAGTCAAGCTGGAAGTCCAGCCAGCCCTTGGCCTCCAAGCAGAAAAAGGACAGCATTGAGAAGTGGGCCCAGGGCAGGCCACACAAGCAGCCTCTAGTGAGTCCCAGGACAGCGCTGGTAGGGAGTCAGAAGAAGCCTAGTCAAGTACCAACACCTAAGAGACCTCAGGACAGACCAAAGGGAAGCAAAAACAAGGGTGCTACCGAGACCTGAAAAATTACCCCAGTTCTAGGAAGGAAACAAAGGAACAGACCCAAAAAACTGGAGAAGGAGGAAGAGGAAGGCAGCTCACAGGAGTCCTCGGAGGAGGAGCAGTGACCACATGTGCTGTTGGCTCCTCACTGGAGGAGCAGCTTCCTTTTGGGACAGGACAGCTATGCTCAGTTCCCACCACCCCCACCCCTTCCCCAGGCCCACCATCACCTCCGGCGGTGGCCACCCCCATATTCTACCTGTGCCCTTACCACCACACTACACAGCACACCAGCTGCTGCAGGGCAATGAGCTGACTTGGGAGAATCGCCCCACTCAGTTCCTTCCCCCTTCCCCCCCCAACTCATGCATGCACACATGCCCTCCTGGACAAAGCCAATGTCCCACTTAGTCACACCCTGACCCTGCTGCATCCCCACTCCCTTGGTAGTGGGGACATTGCTCTCTGGGCTTTTGGTTTGGGGACCACCTCTCTGCTCCTCCACTGTTCTCTCTGGCTTCCCATAGAGGGGCCTGGGAGGGTTTCCCTGGCCTTAAAAGGGGCCCAAGTCCCCATTCTGGGATGCCTCACTCCACTGTCCTGGCATCAGAAGGTGTGGCCTATGGAAGGGGGTGCTGGCCCCCAGGATTCCCTCAGCCAAACTGTCTTTGTCACCACATGGGGCTCACACCTTTCATTGTTCCCCATCTTCCCTAGTCCCTGCACTAGGTTGGACAGCCCCCATTGGCTACAGAAAAGCAGGAGGGGTGTGAGTCCCCTCCTCTCTCTTTGCAGTGGCCCCAGCCCCCTTGCCCTCTGCCTGGGATCTGAGTACATATTGCAGTGATGGAGATGCAGTCACCTATTGTCCTGGTGGGGCCCTTGAGCCCTGTGGCAGCCACCTGAGGTGGGCTGGGGCTGCTTCTCCAACCCTACTTTGCTTCCACCACTCAGCCATTTCCCCCTCCTCAGATGGGGCACCAATAACAAGGAGCTCACCCTGCCTGGTCCCAATCCTCCTGCTCTTCCCACCCCCCAAAAGTTCTGGTTCCATTCATTTTTCCTCTGTTCATAAACTACCTCTGGGCAGTTGTGTTGTTTTTGGTTCAATATTCCATTCTTTGACATCTGTTATTGCTGCTGCTACCAGCGCCAAATGTTCATCCTCATTGCCTCCTGCTCTGCCCATGATCCCCTCCCTGAGATACTCTGTGGGGAAGAGGGGGTGGAGCATGGCAGGCTGGATGACCAACTACTCCAGTTGGGGTCCTGCCCCTAGGATGCTGCAGCAGAGTGAGCAAGGGGCCCCCAATCAACCATAAAGGGTGTAGGGGCCACCTCCTCTTCCTGGTCTGTCAGGGAGGGGTAGCCATGATCTGCCCCAGCCTGGGGCTCCCCCTCTGGTTTCCAATTTGCAGTTACTTGAATTAAAAAAAAAAAATCCTTTTCCAGAAAACAAAATGTAGAGAAGACTCTAAATAGCACCAATAATTCCAGGACTGTTGACTGAGTTGTCTTTCTCAAGTTCTTTGAACTCTCAAGAATTTTGAACACTTTTCACTGGTATAAGGGATATGAAGTTAAACCTTCACATTGCCTGGGCTTGCTCACTGTGTGCTCCCAAGCAAGGATGGTTAACTTCTGTCAGACTTCAGTTCCTTTCTTTTCTTTTCTCTTCTTTTGAGAGTCTCACTCTGCCACCAGGATGGAGTGCAGTCGCAGTAATCTCGGCTCACTGCAACCTCTGCCTCCTGGGTTCAAGCAATTATCTTGCCTCAGCCTCCCCACTTCAGTTTATCTGTCAAATGTGGTTAGTGGGCTGTTATGAAAATTATTAATAATTAGGTCAAACATCCTCTAAGTATCTGTCGCATAGTGGGCTCTTCCTCAGTTGGCCCTTTCCCTTTTCCTTCCTACTGGACAACTTGAGAAAGCTTCCTCCTAGCCTATGGCTGCTCTTCCGTTCCACTTCTTGGTTTCCTGCTCTGACTATCCTGTTTTGTTCTCACAGAGGCAGGAGAGGCAGGTCCGAGACCGCGGGGTGACCCGGTCCAAGGCGGAAAAAGTGCGGCCACCCACCGTGCCAGTGCCGCAGGTGGATATCGTGCCTGGGCGGCTCAGTGAGGCCGAGTGGATGGCACTTACCGCCCTCGAGGAGGGCGAGGATGTGGTAGGGGACATCTTGGCCGACTTGCTGGCTCGAGTCATGGACTCTGCTTTCAAAGTCTACCTGTCTCAGCAGGTGGGCTGGGATCCGGGTCCTTCAGACTCATCTCCTACCTCTCCCGTCCCTCCCTGCCTACCTGAGACCCTCTCTCGCCTCCGCAGTGCATTCCATTCACCATCAACCAGGCGCGGGAGGCCATGCTGCAGATCACGGAGTGGCGCTTCCTGGCCCGGGATGAGGGAGAATCTGCAGTGGCTGAGGACCCCACATGGGGTGAGGATGAGGAGCCTTCGGCATGCACGACGGACTCGTGGGCTCAGGGCTCAGTGCCCGTGCTGCACGCGCCCGCCTCGGAGGGCCTGGAAAACTTCCCAGGTGAAGTACACTCCTCAGGAGCCTCTTCGGACTCCTCTGCCCTTACTCCTGGTCTACCCTTTCCGACATCTCACTGCCCGAGTGCATTTTCCCAGGACCCTGGGGGCGTGGACCAGATCCCCTTAGGAAGGTCGTGGATAGGTCGAGGCTCCCAGGAGCAGAAGGAGTCTTGGGAAACTTCTCCAGAGCTGAGAGTCACCTCGGCCCCTTCTCCCACATCGGAGCTGTTTCAGGGGGCAGGGCCCGGAGGTCCTGTAGAGGAAGCAGACTGCCAGTCCAGAGGCCGCTTCTCCTCGGCTGGGTCCTCGAGCGCAAGCTTCCAACTATTGGTGGAGAAGGCGCCTGCCGACGATGCCAACCTGTCTTTGGAGCCCACTGTGGTAGCCAGCCCCCAGGCCTCAACCGAGAGGAGACAGCCCTTTGGCTTCCATTTGTCATTGGAGGACCTCTACTGTTGCATGCCCCAACTGGACGAGGCTGGGGATCAGCTGGAACACAAGTCAGATGGGGTACTCAGCCTCGCCTCGGGCGTATGGGTGTCCTGCCCCTCTGTGGGCGACGCCACGCACCCCTCTGTGTCCTTCCAGCAGCAGCAGGCCGAACACCACAGGATGCCCTGCAAGGCAGCCTTGAAGCGCCTAGACCCTGCGCGGCTCCCTCGCCACTGCGTGCGCCCCCTGGCCAAGGTCCTGGTGTCAGACTCTCAGAAACGCCCTTTGGAAACCTACCACGGGCGCCAGCAAGACAGGAAGACCAAGACCCGGGCCAAACCCCAAGCCCCCAGCCCGGGCACCCGCGTCTCCCCGGCAACGTTCTTCCCTCTCCAGCCAGGCGTTCCTTTCCGCCCCTCGGACTCCGGCCCCACACTCCAGTTTCCTACTTTAAACTTAGGCCTATCGTCGCCATGCTTCCTGTCAAAGCTATCACTCCCCAGCTCTGGGATCCGCCTCCTCACCACACACCCGGTATTCCCTGATGTGGTCTGCAGCCCCAGCCCCAAGCTGTGGCCCAGTGCCCGGTGGCCCAGCTGTTGGGAGCAGGAGGCCGAGCTGCTGAGCGAACTGTGGGCTGGCCGGACCCGCATACCTTCACAGGGTCTGGAGCTGGAAGACAGGGAAGGCCTGGATTCTGGGAGATGGCCTCAAACCACACCCCAGGTCCTTGAAGCCACTTCCCAGGTGATGTGGAAGCCCCTGTTGCTGCCAGAAGCCATGAAGCTGGCCCCTGGTGTGAGCATGTGGAACCGGAGCACCCAAGTGCTCCTCAGCTCTGGTGTGCCTGAACTGGAGGACAAAGAAGGTGATACCTTTCCTCTCATTGAGCAACAACCCATCCAGACAGGTCCCCCAAAGCCCCAGGTGACCATGGCACAGCTATTGGATAACTCAGTCCCCAAGGTGTGGGCATGCCCTACTAAGCCCTCTGCCTCACTCTGAGCCCTGAGCCTCTGGCAGTGGTAACTGGCCCCTCCCTCTGCTTGCCAGAAATAAACACCTGAGTTGCCTTAGCAAGTGGTCTGTTGTCTGTCAGTTTCTTCCAGGGTGTTCACTCTCTCACTGAACTCAAGGGAAGCTGTTATCCTGCAGGCCTAAAAGAAGACAGCACTAGGGTTCAGGAAATAGCCCCCTCGCCACCCTTAGAAGACCCTGGTTTAGCACCAAAGCTGCGCTGTCACAGAGGCATTCTAGAGAGACCCCCATTCCCCAAAGGAGTAGACATAAGGGCTGCCAGCAGGTCTGGCTCTGTAGAGAGAACTTCAAGTCTCCTTTCAGTAGGGGAGGAAGGAGATGGCCCTGCATAAGCACAGAGCGATTCCAGATGTGAGGAACCTGATTTCTTGCTTCCCTGGTCCCTGGAGCTTGGTCACTTCACCCTAGACTGCAAATCCAAATTTCACTTTTGGAGTTAAGGAGGAACTCTCAAATTCAAAGAGTCTACTGAACAAACTCAAGAGTCAGTGCCTCCTTAAATTTTATCCTAGGCTCCACACCTGCCTTATTGCTAGGCTCCACTCTGCCCAGATTTATCCTGCCCCGACTTTCTCCTATAGCATTTCCCCAGCAGGCCCAGGAAGTTTCTGCTATGTTGCCGTGGGCTACACTCAGCACCCTGGTCTGGGGCCCTGGCTCTGTCCTCCTTATTCTGGTCCTCCTGCTTCAACTATGTGTGCAGCTCTGGCAGAAGTCTCATCCCTGGGACCTCCAGCACTGCTCCACAGATATGACTGGGAAAACAACCATAGTGATTGAGGCCAACAGTGGTGAGGTGCTCCTCCCACCCTGTCTCCTCACAATGGGCCTCAGCCCCCAACAACACCCACAGGGAAGGCAGGGAGGAGCATCCACTGTCAACACCCTTGTCCCTCCCCTAGAGTGTCCCTTGTCCACTGTAGTCACCCTCAGATTAGCTTACTCAAAGCTGTCCTCCCGCAGGCATCAGGAAGGTTGTATCCCAAGAACTGGCTCAGTGTGGGGCCCGAGTGATCCTTGCCTGCTGGAGCAGGGAACATGGACAGCAAGCCCTAGACGAGATCCAGGCAGCTTCAAACAGCAACCACCTCCTGATCGGCCAGGTGGACCTTAGCTCCATGACCTCTATTCGGAGCTTTGCCCAGAAGCTTCTACAGGAGAATCCTGAGATACATCTGCTGTTAATGCTGGAGTTGGTGGTATGTGCCTCGGCTTGCTTCTCCAAACACGTTTCTGCAGCCTTCTTTCTAGCTTAGGGACCCCAAAACAGGTATCCTCAAAGCCTAACCTATGCAATTTTGCCAAAACACTCTAATCCATTCCCTCCCCTAAAAAACTGACATTGAGTTATAGCTTTAAACTTCGTAGCCCCATCTTTGCATGTACATGCCCTTGTGGCATTTCTACTGAAGGTAATATGTCCCTCCCAATCCATGTCTTCCTCAAGGTGGACCCTTTATCACTCAGCAACAGTGCTTTCATCTCCTTCCAGGATTCCCCAAGACACTTAGCCCAGAGGGCCTGGATCTCACCTTTGCCACTAACTATGTTGGGCTTTTTCTGCTCACAAATCTACTCCAAGGTAAGGAAGGATGGGCATCTTCTGTGCTGCCCCTCTTCCCTGTACCCCTGGCATTCTAGTGACTGTCTCCCAGGACCACCTCCTGCTTCTTGGCACCCAGCTGCTTGCTGAGTGGTGACCCAACACACTTTTGTGTCACGCATTAGGGAAGCCCAGCTGGCACAAGTCAGGATTAGAAGGCTGGTAGAAGAATCATTCAGACCAAAATGTAATCAGCAAGGGGATATGAGATCCCAGACCTCCTTCTCTCATCCTCTAGTTCTAGCCAGACCAGTAGAATGAAGACCAGTCATTGTAATGAAGGCTTCTTGAGGGGACACTAGGTACTAGAAACAGAGAAAGCAAGAAGATTCAGAGTTTCTGTTCTCAGGGGCTGCCAGAGCTGTAGGCCATACAGGTGATACAGTTGATACATTACTGCCTTGGGCCTAAGTCCTCTGAAGAGGCCCTTTCTGATTGAGAAAGTTTGGGCTCCTCCAGGGGAAGGCTCAGAGAGTGGGTGGCAGGCACATTCTCCCTGATGTTTTCTCCTAGATTGTATAATAGCCCCTTTATTATTTTTGTTTGTTTTCAAAAAAATTACTCATCCCCTTACAATGATAGCCTCTTAAAAGAAAAGCAATTTGTTTGGTCTGGTAATACATATCCAAAGTACAAAATTAAAAGCCTACAAAAGGATATAGAGGTGTTTTTTTAAGTGTTTTTCTCTTCTTGTACATCAGCCACCCAATCCCCTCCTGAGAGGCAACTACTGTTGCCAGGGTCTCACGTATCCTTTCGTGGTCAACTAAACTAGTCCCAACTGGAAAGTGAACAAAGGCAAAACTCTATGCACCTGCAAGTGTGATCGTTTTGTCCCTTTCTACAAATTGTAACATGTCATGATACATCTGGATCTTGATTAGTGACAGTTTCTTAAACTTCTTTCCTGTCTCCTCTAATCTATTCTCCCCGCTGCCACATCTAGTAATCACTTTTCATTATGGTGATAAGACACTTTCTTGCTTAAAATCCTTTGAAGGTACCCTCTCCTTTGTAGGATGAATTCTAAGCCCTTTCTCTACACTTAGAAGGCCCTCTGCTGACTGAGAGCCTTGCCTTTTGCCCTTCCTTAACCCAAAGCCTAGTCTCCAGCCAGACAATCCACAGCTCTTAGACCATGGTCTGTTTTTTTTCACCCTCTGGCTGTGTTTTTGCACATATGGTTTCTTCTACCTGGACTATCCTTCTGATCATGTTGCCCTGACTAACTTTAGTTCACCTACCAAGAGGCAGCACAGATATTACCTCTACTGTGGATCTTTTCCCAACCTTCACTTCCCCTGGCCACCTCTATTTATGGGGCTTCATTAGCCCCTTTTTACACATCTCTGTGACTACACCAATGTTGCTCTGTGTCTCTCCAACTGAG